GTACCATCAAAAAAACCTTAAAAGACAGGGAAAAAATTGAAACAAATTATAAAATAGCCGAGCGAACAAAATTTCATTTTTTCAAATGAAAAATGTTTTTTTTTCATTTATATGGTCGCATATTTCTGTGCGATTTGCCAAGCAACCGGTTATCCTTGTTAAACTGGTGCTCTGTTGACATTGACCTTCAGCAAGCTTCCTTATTTTGTTCACAGCTAGAACTGATATATTTCGCTGCTGAATTATTATCACTAAATATTAAACTGCTTTACCTTTCATAAATCCTAAAATAGTCGGTTGTCTTCGGCGGAACTTAAATGAGCTAAGTTGCTTGTTTGATCATGGGAACTGTGGTGATTATTTGATTAGGAATAGCTCTTTTATTTTGACAATTGCAAATTTTCCTAACCATATCTTCTGATTTTAGTGCATTAGGCGTTTCAGCAAATCTGATTTTATTGCTTAAGGCTTCTGTGTTGGTGGATATTATCTCTTCTCTGAAATTCAATTAAATATCTTCGCCCACACCCGTTGATCAAGTCTGCCTTCGGCTCTTTAAGACCATTTGCTTGATCTTAATCTTTTAAGCACCATTTAAGCGTCATACCTGCGTTTAACTCCTTATAAGTCCCAACAACTACGCAGCCCAATGACTTCCGTTTATTTCCTTACCGATACCTGATTGGTCGCCTGACTTTAAGGCGTTTTGGTTCCTTGATTATTTGTGATTGTATTACCCCAATTTGCAGACTGGATTCTTTGCTCAATTATTCTGCCGTCTGAACCACCGCATTACCACCCGTATCACAAGCGACTAGAGATCCAATCTAGTGGCTCACGTAAGTCTATCCCTATCCCGTTTTATTTCTATTTTTTATAATCCGTGACAGTTACGTTCTGTGTTATTACCACTATATGGATATTGCCACCCATTTTTGAGCGTGCCATTTTGTGATGTTATATGGTACGGGTTATGACTGAAATGGGAGACCTGAATCGCTTCAAATTTTTCCGCCTGGCTAAAAACCTCTGTGGAAGTGCACAGCAAGTCGACCAGAAGAACAGTGGGAAAATAAAAGCAGCACAGGAGACACTTAAAAGGATGGGAATTAGCTATCAAGGCTCTCTCTCTAACAAACGGTCTTTGTAGCAGTTATGCTACGCTCACGCCGAAAAAGTAAAGTGCTCTTTTCTATCGAAACCAGATAGCAATGTCGTCCCTTCTTTGTTCTTTTTCTTTCAACAAAGATGGATTTGGATCATCCAAATCTTCTTCATTTCGCTTCTGGTTATTTCACAAATTAATGATTCGTTAAACCATCATTTGTCTCCCAGGAAATCGTTTTTTTTTAGATTATCAGTAAAGTAAAGAGGCAAGGTAAGTGTTTTATCCTAGATCAGTAATTTATAAAACAACGCTAACTTGCAGCTCATCTTCGAATAAAATTTAAGATATTTTAATGATATCGCGATTGATCTATGGAGATGTCGTTTCCCCTAAAGCCTCCCAAAATTATTTGTTCTAAAAACTATTTCTTTCTAACGTTTGATTGTTTTAAAACCATTAAAGCGACTTCAAAACATTTAAACGCTAAAACGTAATTAATTTAAGATCAATTAATTTTTGGGAAGTTTTTAAGGAGGAGCGACATCTCCATAGATTAGTCGGATATTATAAATGTATCTTCACCCTTGCGATAAGCAAAGGCATTGCAATCGACTACTAGACATTTTTCCATAAATAACTTTGTTAACAAAAGGGTCAAAGTTAGAAATCTTTAATTTAAGGCTTATTATTTGGCTTATATTTTATCGGCTTAGTTGCCACATCGTTTTATTGTTTTTTTTTCGCTGGACGCAGTTTACCGTGTAATTGCTTGTAGAGCTTTGATTTCATTCTGCTGTTTGTAATTTCGTATATTTCCTTTCGTTTTTTTTGCTTAAAAACTATTGTGCTCAAATGATTTCGGCTCATACTTTATCGGCTTAGTGGCCTAATTTTTCGTTCAAGTTTTTCATGACAATTTTTACCGGCTTTTTTTCTTTTATTTGCATGATAGGTTGGCCTATTTTGTATCGGTTTAATGGCCTTAAATTGCGTCTTTCAACAAGCGAAAAAATTGCACTTTCTGGATCGCATAAATTAGTAAAAATTTTAATAGAAGTGTTGTTTTTTTTCGGCTTGATAGGTTTCGGCCTTTATTATATCGGCTTAATGGCCTCATATTGCGTCTTTTGACGAGTGAGAAACATTTGAGTTTGTGTGTGTGATTTGAGTGAGAATGACTTGATTTATATTTTTTATATTTTTTCGGCTCTTGTGGTTTTTTTTGTTTCCGTTTTCTTCGGGTGAATAGGTTTTGAACTATATTATATCGGCTTGATGGCCTCATATTGTTTCATTTGGCGCGTTCAAATACGTTTGTGTGTGTTTTGAGGGTGAGGGGGAATTGTTAACTTTTTTTTAAGTCTAAAGTCTCGTTGATTTTTTTCGGCTTGAAGGGTTTCTACTTAGGTTTTTTCGGCTTTGTTACCGCTTGGGGATTTTTTTCGATGCGATTTTCATGTCTTGACATGTTTGAGTTTCAAAACTAACCTGATTAGTTTTGATAGATCTGGTTTTGTAGCGGCTTTTTGGTTTTGTATCGCAAGTGGTGCGAAGCGCCGCTTCGCCTCTGTCCATTTTATCGGAAGATGAACAAATTAGTGCTATTCCTTAATTTATTGATCTAATGACTTGGAGTATATATTTTGTTCACTACAAAATATTTTAGCGTAAATTTTAAAAGAGATGAGCTAAATCGTAGTTTTCTTTTTGCATTCCTTCTATTGGGGTACTAGTGCTTTATGATTGAAATGAATCGACTGTTAAATTGGGCCAAAGTGTCTGCTTTGTTTCTTTAGTCATACTGAATAGTTATTGTTGAACTTCCTTTTAAAGCTCTTTCTAAAATGATCTGTTTCAATCATTTATTTATTCAACTATTCATCTGATTTTAAATATATGTTATGAATTTTACCTCTGTTATCTTTTTTTTTTACTTCATTATCTCTTTTGATCAGAAAATTATTGGTTCGAAATTACATGAATTCCCATTGTTTATTTCCTGAAGTGTGTAGAAGTTTGTGCTGTGCATACACCTTCAGATTCCCATTTGATTACGTCCTTTTCGTGATGGTATTTTGAAAAGAAGTTTGTACTCATCACTTTTTCTACACAAAATGCGGTATTATTATTTTTATCATCATTGCCTGCATCATGTGAAGAAATAGACAGAAAAATTCTTCTTGGTATGCTAAGTGAGAATTTAAAAAATCTTGATTAGGCTATTTTTGGGTAAAAAACAGGTAAAACATTTAAACTCGTTCACCTGGATAAGTGAATGTATCGATTTTTTTAAATTAGACAAAGTGATTTTCTTAGCTCTGCTGTAACAATCAAGGGATCTTGTTAACATTCCCCTCCCCCCCCCCCCTCCTATTGCAATAGGGAGGGAAATAGTTAACAAGGTACAAAATTCGTATACGCTTAACTGTTCAATTTTTTCTTTATGAGGGTTGTGCGGGAGAGATTCGTTACAAGGTACCTTGGGGGGGGGGGGGGATATTTAACAAGATCCCGCTCAAGTACACTAATCGAGAATTCCTACGCCGCCGGCGACATTTAAAAAAAATCTAAAATGACTGAAATTAAAGAAAAAATATCACCATTATAGGTCAATTAAGATATTGATAATTAGACCGTGAAGCTTCAATTCATCCTTTCCTTCCTATGCGCCTTCATAAAAATAAACTAAATACGAAGCAGTTTCTTTTTTCAAAGTTTTGCCGTTTAACTGTGATAGCCACTTCTGTGATACTTGCACAGATAGCGGCACCGGCTATTTTTTAAACCAGCTATTAATTTGCATAAAGTGCAATTTTTTAAATACCGATTGTGTATCAATTCAAGAGATGGAATATGTCTATAGATTACGCAGCTTGGATTTTGCTGATTTCAACCTCCTTTGACGTGAAAAACAGTTTTTCCTTGATGAAGTTGAACTAGTTCTGATTGTTCTTCATTTTATGGCATTTTTTTTGCCTCAGTGTTCATTATCATAGTTTTGAGCCATCCATTTGCAGGGACATACTCAAATGGAAAATTTTTGGTCAGAGAAATAATTTTTGTTTCAAAAAAGAAAAAATCTCGGTTCAGGCTCAAAGAATGCACCGAATGTGCTGCAGCGATGCTTTGTAGCTTTCTAACAAACATCGTGTTTTGTCCTTTGTTGAATGTTTAGTGTATTTGATTGTGATAGTAAAAACCCAACAGGTTTTGTATTTTCGGATTCGTATTTTTGAATTTAGTGATGATAAGTGAACTGGGCCGAGTTGAAAAGCAATGGTTATTTGACTAAGCAGCTCAAATGGCGTCAAAGAATGTTGTTAATTAGACTAAACAAAGGCTTCGATTGCGCATTCAATCGCAATACATGACAAACTCAAACATAATGGTCGCTCGTGTGTGATGTTGGTGCAAAATGTGGTTTGTTATTCGGGTGGGGGTGCTTTGGACGTCGTTTTCGGGTTAATTGCGAAAGAAAGGTTCACTTCACAACACGCTGGTGTGTATGTTTAATTGCGCTCTATTTGCTTGCCTAGCTTTGTTCATTTATTTGTGTCAGCAAACTGAATTTGTTATAAAAACCAATTAACCGTTTCGAAGCATTTATGCCTCCCCTGAAAGCTGTTAATAGATCATGCTTCAACCATAGGCAGTCGGTTTGTCAATGACAGTCCCTGATTTTTCAAATCATGTCCACTGGTCGGTTGTAAAGCTATTCAGGCTTTCAGCTCTTTTCTGTCTGTCTGTTAGTGAAAATGTAATTTCAGTTCCAACTCGAACCAAGTGCTACCAGTATAGCGATTCAAGCAGCTTGTTTTCATTTCAAACACACTTACTTTCATTCAATCTTTCCTTGCCATGTTGTTTATTCAGTTTTTGTTTAATACACCTGACCTGAAGTAAAGACCATTTTCAATTTCAGATATTAAATATGAGCAAAAAGTCGGTCAAACTACGGTCAAGAAATGTTGCAACTGATTTTTGACACCGATGGCCGACAACGCAGCGACAATTGACAAGCCACTTTTGAGCGGAACAAGCTTGTTTCAGGTCAAAATAGAGTAGTCTCAATATTCGACCTTTAAAGTCCGTTTGCGAACAACACTACACTGAAAAGTAACATATTAATGTGTAAGATATATATGCATTTTCCCTTTTCCACGTTCAAAATTACCCTCTTTGAATCAAATTATCTGTTTGAATAGCAGGCCTTGCTTCAAAATGAGCCTCAAAAGAATACGCAAAAGATACGTCATGCTTCATCATTTATTTACGCTCAGATGACGCAAAAAAAGCATGACTGCGCTTTCGGAGCATATAGATGCAATCATACAACGTTTTCACCTCGATTTTGGCACGTTTACCAGCTTAACTAAACGAAAATTTTTAACTAAATTAAAAATTAGACCTCCATCGAATCATCTCCGTTTGTTCTCGGGCCAGAGGTACTTTGGATCCGCTATTAATTCTTCTAAAAGTAATATCCGGAACAATATTCGTGTGCATCATAAGCAGTCCTGTTGGAACTGGTTATCGTTATTATTACTCCAACTGACAGTGTTATTTATACTTGTGGGTTATAACCAGAAGGGGGGTGGGGTTAGAGCTGCGTCGTCTTCGGAGTGTCTTCCCTGTTCGGACCCCGACTGGTTTCTGTGTGAGAACTGTTTGTGTGTACCCACTGAGAAAGTGTGTGACGGAGTTGTAGACTGCAGACCTCATGACTGGTCGGACGAAAAAGGATGTCGTAAGTTCCCTTTCTAATACTTAATCTTCTATACCGAATATTGCTTCCTTGATTTGTAACCGCGAGGGGGCCTATTGACAGTTTTCCAATGTAGTAGGTAAATGTTACGACAACCTAAGTTCTGGAGGAACTTTGTTTGGATTCGGGTGTTTTTTTACGGAGATCGAGGTACCACTGAGATAAGTCAGGTTGAATCGGAAGATATATCATATGAAAGCTTTTAAGTTTTTTGATTTGACCTGCAAATCATTCTCAAAAGAGCTTCCGGCTGACGAAAAATAATGGTCTGATTACTTAGCGTTTCTTGCCATTTTAGAGCGGCGAAGAATAATACGCAAAAAGCGTGCCGGGTGTTTGGCTCAATTCTTGTTTGACAAATTTTTTTTCAAAGGGTCTTTCCTCCCTTTGGTACCAATTTACGACATTCATTTTTGGTTTACCAACTGTGAAATTTTTCAATACACTAAATTCAAGACGGATTGCGCGCCATTAAATGCCATTTTTGGTCAAAACCCTCTAAAAATACATCTTAAAAATACTATTTTTTAAGCTTGCTATTGAAAAGCTTTATCAATTCGGAACATTGAATTATTTCGATGTTTTCTTTATTTTGAATTAAATGTCCTCACGGCTTCTTTGAAGCATTTGGCCTAGCGGTAATGTCAATACCTTGGAAAACAAAGGTCTTGAGTTTGAATCCAGCCATGGCCTGTTTTTTTTGCAAAAAAAATTATCTAAAACAAAACTGTCACCTAGTTGTTCCTCGATTAAATTTTCTGAATGCTTGATTAACAATAGTGATTAAGTTTAGTGAAATGTTTTCCTCGGTTCATGTAATGGAGAAAAAAACAGTCCGGTTTAAGGTCGCCGGTGCACGCGTCGCCGCTTCGCGGCGATAACCGGCTCTAAATTTCGTATTAAATCCTACCCTCTGTTGGCAAGCTCAAAACGTTGGCGCGACGCGGCGGTCACTATTTTGTTCATTATGTTTGTTGAACAAAGGACAATTCTCGGCTTGCCGGCTTGTTAAAACAATTATTACTTGGGACTGTTTTTCGGGCTGTTTTGTATCGGACTGTTTTTAGTTCATTTTCATACTTTTCCGGACTGTTTTGTATTGGACTCTTTTGTATGGGACTGTTTTGTACAGACACGGTTTTCCTCGAATTGAGGCAAAGGTATGAATTTTTTTACAGCTGTAGTTATGTCATTCAGCTAGCTTACAATGCTGCTTTTTTTTTGTATCGCAAGTTGAGCGAAACTTCGTATTTGTATATCAGTATGCATCTAAAAAGAAAAGTTTCCTTTCTGTTACAGTGCTGATATTTAACTCGAAAGGAACTTTTCAGCATCCGATTTTCGGTAATGGTAAAGAAAAGAATAGTTTTTCTCGAATTTTAAATAAAAAATTGGCTTTCTGGTAGGCATCATTTCGTTGTCGGAAACTTTAATTTTTTTGTTTGTTATTCAAATTTTGGAATTGATTTTTTCTGCCGTTGTTGATTATTTGCGTTCAACACTGCAATTTGGGCCAAATAGGGTTTCAGGGGAACTCGGAAAGTCAATTCGGTCGACCTAAAAAAACGTTTTTTTAAAAACCGCCCCTCTAAAAAATTTTCCGCACACTACTGCTCCTCATTAATAAATTTACATTAGAAATTCAAATAAAAGAAAAGGGAACATTTTAACTTATTTTTGGTAAAGTGACAGCTGATATTGCAGTTTTTAAGTTAAAAAACCGCTTTAGGGCGCAAATTTGTATTTAAGGCTCCATCTCACCCACGCCACTCTCAATTGTTAATTTTTTCCCCAAAACTCGTATTATCGGATCATCAAAAAAAAATGAAACACTAGCTCCTGACTTTACCACAATTAGTTAGTATGCAAAGTCAATGAAAAGTATATATAATGAAAAAGAAACGTTTTTTTTTTTAGTTCATAAAGTTGATTCAGTCAACTAGTACTCCACAAGTGCTGGGTAAAATTGTCTTTCTCTGCGTTCGATTTTTGTGTTGTTTCGGAAAATGATTTGTCGTCTAGGAACTATGGCATAGGGTGTTTTTTTTTGGATTTTGAATAATTCAAGGGAAGTTTTTTTTAGTGATCAAGGGTAGTATCATAGGGATCAAGGGTAGTGAATACCTTTCAGTCGTGATTTGGATTCCAAAGGTTTCTCAGTGTCGAAACAAATGGCCTAAATTTTTCTGTTTTTTAGATGAATTAACTACAGTCATTTACTTCCACAATATATTTCACCTGATTTTAACAGTTTTTACTTTTCTTTCTGCAGTTTTTACCTGATGTATTCTATTTGTCTTTTACTTAAAAATAAACAAGAAATTAACGGACATTTTTGGATTTTTTCAATTTTTATAATTTGTACTTCTCAATTACGGTTGTAATTAGCAAGCGTTATCAAATTAATTTAGCGTCATCATAACAGAATACAGTTTCTTTGTCAAAATAACAAAATGAAATCTCCTGACCCGTTTGATAGCTTGGTTAATTTAAAAAAATCAAATTTCTCGGCTTTTCCGGCACACTAGGCCAGGAGGTAACGACTACGCATGGGACTGCCAACTTGAAACATTGTTCTAATAAATTTTTTGCCTATCATTTGACACATCACGGATTTGACACATCGTGTTTGACACATAACAGACTTTTTTCAGCTGTAAACAAATTTTTTTGTTGTGGCAAGTGTTTATGGTCAACTCTGTAATTTTCAAAAAATACTAGCCCTGATTTTGTATATGTTCTTTTTTGTTTTTCCCTTCAAAATTTTAGTCGGCCCAAATGGTTTCGCTTTATGTTCTATCGGCTTTGTGGCTTTATTTTTGCATCCTTTGAATTGGAACATTGTTTTCATATCAACAAATTTTTTGGGCCGAACGGGATTAACGCAAGTTTTGTTGGCTTTGTGGCCTGTCGCTAAACGTTTCTGATTTTATACTTTACATAAGCGATTGTATTGCAGGAAGTGTTCTCAAATTGAACATCATGAGACAAAAAAACAACATTTTTTGCAATCAGCTTTTTCTTCCCAGCTACTTTGCATTTAACCGTGCTAATTTTGGTGGTAGTTTTGCTGCACTGTGTTGGCAGTTTGATGTGTTCTCCGCTTTATTGGTGGATAGTGTTTCGGTTCTTTCAGTGGCACCCTTGTGTAGGGCACGCGTAGTCGAAAATCAGGCTTCAGGCTCGGTACCTGTAGAAGACTTAATTTTAAAATTCATCCATGTTTTCTCTTTACCTTTTTAAAGACAATTTGCGTTTTTTTCGCTTGTTTGCAAAGTCCAGCTTCGCCTGTGTTTCATTTTTTTGAGTGACTCCTTATCGACTTCAATAGCAAAATGGGCAAATGGCACAAAAAAAAATGAATCTTAAAAATTTATTTCAGAATAGTGTCAATCATGAAAAGTTTTCGAAATTGAAAGAGCTGTTAACTATTCGATTTTCTTAATCAAGTTATCCGAAGTTTGTCGTCCACAAATTTTGGTTACGCTTGTCTATTTGTCTTTCTTCTACGTTTTTTGGAAAAAAAACTGACTTAAAGGAAGTTTTGAATACATATCGAGGTACAGAAAACCTTTTTCGAGTAATTTCAACTGAGAGACTGTTGTTTTTAAGCAATTAACTAATTGCTTACAGTTACAAGCAATGGAAATTGCTTGTTTTGTTTTTCGGTCTAATGGTGCTTTTTTCGCCAAATATTTCTAATATAATGAATCGAATTTAGGCACGATATTCAGTGGGTTTTTTGTTTCTCCGCTTTCGGAACGTGAAAACGTTTTAAAAGTACTCTTGTTGATGATACTTTGCTGAGCGTGAACATCCTATTCAATTAGTTCAACTGATTAAATAGTCTCTGAGTTCAATTTGGAGTAGGAAGGGAAATAGGAAAAGCAAATTTGGTACAGACAGTTATTTCCTGTTCAACAATTAACTACTCTTTTAGACGCTAATCAACGCTAGGAAAAATGGAGGGAAATGATGGATGATTTTTCAATAATTTTGTCGAGGGTGTATACAGATACAGAGTTAGGCCTTTCACATGCAGACAGGCGCGGATCTAAGAATTTCTCAAGGGGGGCGGACTTTTTTTTAGGTCGACCAAATTGATTTTCTGAGCTCTCCCAAACCATTACAGAGACCCTAATTAGACCAAATTTTCAGCGCCCCAGGCAAATTTTTGAAAAAAGGCGTTTTTGGCACTTTTGGAAAATTTCGACCAAAAAATCGCGTTTTTTCGGCGCGTGCTCCCCCCTCAAAATTAGTATAATACAATTTTAAGGTCAGTCCGCCAAAAATGAATATCTCAAAATAGCACAAAGGGGAGACCCTTTGGGTCGACAGGTGGTGGAATCCCTGAGAAGGCGGAGGCATCCGCCCCCCCCCCCCCCAAAAAAAAATCCGCTACTGCATGCAGAGCATTTCGGTGTCTGATTTTGAATAATGATTGTCTGTTTGTATCAAAGCGAACCCCTGGTTCTTTCGAATGCCCGCTGATGTATCTGAGTGAGGTTTTTTCTATCTTAGTTTGCAATTAATGTTTATTTTTGTTTATGATAATGAAACATTGATTATGCGTCTGACTAAAAGTAATGCCGCGAAGTAACTTCAAAGCAAGTGGTTCAAATCTGGAGGCAACTGCTTCAAAAAACATAATTATGGTTTTCAGTTTAGAGCAATGACCTCTTGATAGATGTGGTGAAGTCAAACCTGCAAACAACAATATTTTCTGATTGTGTTTGATTTTTGAGTAAATATTCAAAAATTGATTTGTTTGCTAAGGATTCGTGTTATTTTTTAACTGCTTTTTTATTATATGTTTCTACTTTTTTTTATATTTTTGTCGCTGTTTCTACTTTTTTGTCGCGTTTTATCTGGAGTCACAGATTTCCGCTGTTTAAAGTGTGATGGTAAATGTGTAGTGTTGTATTAGGCTGGGAATGTACACATCAAATATTCATGTCCAGCTAAGACCGAGGAAGAATTGA